GGCACGACCTGGGAGGCACGGCGTGCCGTGCCGGCCCGTTGGCTATCGGGCCGTGCTGCCATGTGCCAGGCTGCCCATTGGCCATCTATGCGAGCAACGCATAGCTTTTCTGAAATTAAAAAGAAAGAAAGAAGAATGGATTGACGGGTTAATTTGTTGTCGATATGTCAAATCCCACATGTGGTCAGTTGGTCACCAACTCTCACGTCTCTCCATACATAATTGATCTCAGTGGCCTGGGCAATTCTGCACACTACTATTGGGTGGATGGAAATGACAGTACTCTTCGATAGAAAGCGAACACACGCAAAGCTTTTGCTTGTTCTCGAGAAACAAGAGGCGAGGCACTAATTATATATCCAGTAGAGCTAGCTGATCGAGCAGCGTCTACATTTCTGAGTAATCTATACTAGGTCTAGGTAAGGTCCTGGGTATATCGTCACATGTGACATATAAGGGGATTATGATGGAAATAGTGGCTCATTTGGAAACGTTTGCTCACATCGTCTTTTAGTGGTGCGTGCTGTAGTCGGTGTGTATACTACACTATATGACCGTCCGTTTCTGTTCTTGCGTAGCGCCTTTCACCTGGCCAGCATGCAACTATGGCGTTTTTGGCATGGCTTCTAGCGCCTTTGGCTTCTTCTATAGCTCATACTCTAGCAGCACTGTTTATAGATGTCATTTTTCTCTCTCCTGGTAAAATGAGTCGGAGCCTGAAGGAGCCCAGTCAAACGGGACTTATATGATGTTGCAGATGCAATGGGCCGAAAATTACATAGATGTGCCTTTCGGCTTAAAGAAATGTCGGTGGAGGGCGACCAAAGATAAGTTTAACATTATTTCCAAAAGAAAGGATGTTAAGATTGTTAAACTTGAGATGTGTGATTTACTTCTTTATAGTTTGATTTTATGATTCTATTAAGTAGAGTCTACATTTTCCTTTGATTTTTATGTATAAGATCTTATAATTACCATCCTACTTAAAGCCCTCCGATTCGATATAGAATCTATGTTTTTTTACAACATACAATTTACGTTTTTGACAACTTTGTAGGTTGCCCTTGCCCATTGTTGTCTAAAACGACTAGGAAGAGGAGCTCATCGGATGGAGAGCTGCGTATGGGGAAGAATTTACCTCACATCAAAAGTTGGCCTTTAGAATTTAAAACCTCACGTGCACACTTTGAAATTTTAGCGACACTAACTCAGTTTTTCAGAAATGACTTAATACAATTGTTCGCTACTTTTTTTTTTGAGATAATAGGAGCTTCATTAATCAGACAATGTTACAATCACACGATAGCAGTTCACGGATAGCCAGTGGGGGATTAACGTGCCACTCCTCCGACACAAGATCACATGAAACTTGTCTAGCAGATATGTGAGCTACCCTATTACAAGCTCTATTTGCGAAAACAAAGGTAAACTCATCGAACAACAACTGAGCTTTCTCTGCAATTATTCGCTACTCTACGTAGACCGGTGTTACTAAATATATATACGTGGCCCCACATCAAAAGTCGAACACTAAAATTAACTGGAATTCATTGGAGATGACTTAGTTCAATTATTTGCTAGTTTTGTGTAGATCAATGCGACTAGATGTCTAGATATATATATGTGGGTCCCATGTTAGAATTTTAGAATATACATTGAAGGCTAGTATCTCAATCTCAGGTAGATGGTGCACATAAATCCAATGGACACCGGAATTTTTGAAATGGTGTCTAATGGACAATGAATTTTGTTGAATCAAATGATTATGAGCATCCAAATCCAAATAGATCATATCCAAGTGTATTCAAAACAACTAGAGTCCAATTAGATTTTGGATTATCCAAATATCCATTGCCACATCTATTCGACACTCAAGCCAAGACATGCATACTGCAGATTGATTCCAATACAATCACAAGCTATGTCTATGATGTCATGCACAACGCGTTGGTTTAGCCAGCAGCTGGTGAGCTCCTCGTTCGTGCCTCGTGTCAGTCCGGTTCCCGGCCGGGCCCGTGCCACGCATGAACAGGCTGTCGTCTTGGGCCCTGCATGTTTAGAGATCGTGCGATCCAGGGCCTGGGCCTCCAGCATCGCACCAGAGAGAACTGAGTTGTCAAATCCAGGCAAAGACCGGGCCAGCCCCTTTTCGATGAGGGCCTGGCCTCCGACTCCAACAAGCTGAAACGGCAAGGGGACGGTTTCCTTTGTTATTCCGTCCAGATTAAGTTCACGGCCCCCGTCTGTCTTTAATCAGGTTCATGCATCCTAATCAAGTCCGTAATCACACACACGACTTGGCACTGCTCTCATTCGGTTGCCTTGTCAGCTGGGGTCTGGTTTGCAGCAAGTAGGGCGCGGTTTGTTAGGCCACAGGATCATCGACTCAAGTGAGTCGACCACGATCGATCACGACAGACGTTGTTCGACCACACGCTATGTTAGAGGTAGAAGAAGAGAGGAAAAACAGAACATACACACAGCCAGAGACACTAGTGTTGGTCGGAGCCCTGTATAGAAGATGACAAATCTGAACTCTATTTACTGAGTTGTAGTGGCAAACTATTTATACAACTTTATCCATCTAGTCATAGTATAGCTGCCATGCTGCTATAGTGACTAGATGTGACAGCAGGGCTGACTTTGGGGTCTGTCCTGCTGTGACTACGGTGCAGCAGGTGAGCCGTTCAACGCCTACTCATACAGTGCCCTTTTCGACGGCGCCTTCCTCTACTGCATATTCATACCAGAAATGTAGCAGATTATCTAACACGGTTGGGCACTCTTGGTCTATTATCACCTGAAATCGTCTGGGGTAAAATGATGCAGATGCATGCATTCTCTGAACTTTGGAGCAGTGAAGCCTGGCTGAGGTGAGCATCAGCGGCAGCGACGCTGCAGAACATGATCGATCTGGATCGGAGCACGGGAGCACTCCAGGACCAAAAAGATCTCCCTGCCCTGCCCTGCCAGGGAAGCGAACGAACGTGCACAATAAATGCCCTGCCCTCCCAGGGAAGCGAACGAACGTGCACAATAAATTATGGCATGGGGGGGAAGAGAGTCTTGTGGAATCTTTGGCGGTGACCCCCCTCCAGATCCATGCCCAGCTATTGAAAAAGAGGGATGATGCAGTCCATTGCTATCAGGCAATTTTAAACCAGGGCTCTCCAGCTTGTTTGTGGTACAAACTGAATTGTTCATTGGCAAATGGCAACTCTAGAGTGTAGTGAAACCAGACAAGTTTGGTGCTTACCCGATCGAGCACAACCAGTCCAGTAGCTCAAGAACCCAAGCTAGATGGTGCATGCAAAATTAGGGGTGACTTGAGACCTTGATTTCAGACGTCAGAAGTAGCACAATGGCACAGTGGTTCGTTCAAGTCTGTTAATTAGTAGTATCGCAGTTACACCGGTTAGTTCACTGAATTGGCTCCATGCATCTGCACTGCTGAGCAGCTGAGCCATGTGAAGCTAAACAGGAACGACTGCACGCGCAGAGCATGCGCTCGCTGTCGCTGACATGACTGGTGGGTGGGCTCACAACCAACTGGAGTTACCGCGGATGAGGCCGTGCAATCGCACGAGAACGGAGAAGCCGGCCCGAACGGAAACGCGTTTCCGGCATGCGAATATGGGTTATGGTGGGGCATGTAATGCATGCGTTTCCAGCATGTTTGATGGGCAAGTCATGCATTCCTAACATGCGAATCGGCAGACTGCCTTCCGTTCCATCCGAGAATGAGTTGGCGATCGAGGCGCCATATAGAATAGTAGGAGTAACTCAGGGCGCGTTTGCGAGTGTGTACCTCGCCGGCCTGGCCGGCTGGCCATGGCCTGGCCACCCTTAGTCCGGTCCAAATGGTGCAAGTGCTCGTGTTTGTCATCGTGGCTCAACAGAGCCGAGCTCGATTGAGATCGTGTTTGTTGTGCTTTGGCGATCGATCGAGCGCGCCACCCCGTTTCTCGGGAGCCATAGGCAAATAGTCGCAAACATGGGGAGTTGCATACGGAGGGTAACAAGGTCAAACGCCCCTCAGAATCTCCATCTCCTTCCATTTGGTGATATCTAGTATTTCCCCGGTCGTCTATGGTCTATGGGGAAGCACTTGCTATGGTGCTATCTGGCATCGGATGTCGCTGAAGCAGGCAGGGCCTCCCGCGTCATGCATGCCCTACTGCTCAGACCTCACAAATCACGCAACCAAACCAACGGCAGCATAACGTTTGCTGCCCGCGGCCGCGGGTCACATAGGCCACGCCGCGGCTCTGCGCGATTGCACGAGAGCCGAGCGCCGACGACGACGACGACGCTGAATGAACTCCCACTGCCGCTCTGCCGTCTCCAAAATGCGGATTGACAATGCCATCTGGCGTGGTCGAACAGCTTTCCAGCGCAGTACCAATCCACAGCAGTTCTCCCCTTGATCAGGCGGCAGCGTCACCTATAGAGCCGTAAAAACCGTGTCTTTCGCCGGAACTTGCACACGGCGTCGGTCGACTCGAGGCTCAAATTTGCTCCTTTTACCCTGAATCCCTGATCAGGCTCAGCGCATGATTCACATTCTTCTCTCTTCGACCTGCACGATGTTTGTTGGGCTGGCGAAGCGAGGGAGTTTGATGAATAAAAATCAAAAGCCTCACACATGTGCCACGCGATGGGCCGGATCTGAATGGGCGAGTGCCACCTCGTTGGCATCTCGACAAAGTTTGGCGGGTCCCACCCCCGATCCCGGCCCGGTACTAGTTCCCGTCCCCTCCCTTGCTTGTTCGGCTGGCTTTAAGCTAGCCGGCTGACTTGTTTTTCTCATATGAAATCATTGTTTATATTTTGTAAGAACAGTATTTTTTTTCATACAATAATAATTTAGAACAGTATTTTTTCAGTGGTGCCGAACAGCCCTAGTCTCCGGTGAGAGTACACTCGTCGACTCCAGTCGCTCGCTCTCTCCCCCGAGGTCCCAGGGACAGGCAGCCGGCGAAGCGCGCCGTCGCGAAGCAATGGCAAGTAGCACGGGTTTCTTACTTCCCGCCGCCGTGGTCTCTCGCTTCCCTCCCTCTCTCTCCGCGCGGCATGTTGACTCCCGTCTCCTCGTTCGTTCTCCCCAGGATTTCAAGGGGTTCTGGGAGTCCAGATTCGGGGGCAAGAAGGAGCCGGAGCAGAACGGGCACGCCAACGGGGAAGCCAACGGGAGCGTGCGGAAGAGGACCTCCGATTTGGCGGTCTACGAGCAGTTCGAGCAGCAGGTAGTGGACTGCGGCCCTCGGCCGGCTTGTGTTGTGATCCTCTGTTTCGTCCCGATGCATGCAGGTGTATGTTGTCAGCTGGGTTTGGTTGATTGATTCATCCCGGTACCGTCTTGTTTCAGGCCAGGCAGACCCAGGTCCGAGCCGCCGCGATTCGCGACGGAAACGCTGATGTGATGTGAGCACTCTTGCTTATCTTACTCTACACACATTCGGTGCTGCGATCTACTTACCCTTTTCAGCGTTGCGTTTCTTACGCTGCATGTGATGCGGGGTTGCGGAACAGATCTTGAGCAGTTTCCAGTAGGATTGGGCAATGGATGTAGGTTGCTGGGAAAGAATGGGGGTTCACCTGGTGTATCACTGACTTTCTCGGAATGCTTTGGTGGGGATACAGATAGAGAGATCTATGATTTAGTTGACATCCTGATATAGATAGCGAGTGGGGTGCCAACTGAATCCAAATTTGGCTGGTTCATTCACTGAATGCATGAATGCACCATGCAATCAGTCAAAAAAAAAGGCACCATGCAGTCCCTTGTATGCCGTGTGTAGCTAGCATCGTGTGACAAACATAGTTCAAACGGGAATCAAAGGTCGTGGTCCCTTGCCTTGTTGTGGTACACCCTTGTTGCCGTACACCCATGCCCGTCCGTCCCGGAAAGGATACAATTCTAGGTTCAGTCTAGGTCAAACTATCTTAGGTTTAACTAATTTTATATAAAAAAGTACTGTCAACATTTATGACTTTAAATTAAATAGGTAAAATTATGAAAACATATTCCATGTATAATTTAATAATATTTATTTAGTATGATAAATATTAGTATATTTTTAAAAAATTCTGTCATACCTAAGATGATTCGACTTAGCATTATACTAGAATTGCATCCTTTTTTGGGACCGAGACGAGTAATTCTGCTCTACACTACGAATGACCTGCAGAACACACACTTGTTTGGTGGCATATAGCAATTTTCCAAGAACCTTTTCAATTTCACTGGGAACTTCACCCCGTGGAACAATTTTTAAGGGGATAACTTCCAGCAGAAGTTTGTGCTGAAATACATTAGCTAATGACCAATTTTTTCCTATTGAGCAATGCACGATTTATTTCTTCAAAAGGACAGAATTACGATGATGCTTAGTAACCAGAACTAACTATTGTCCAAGCGCTTAGTTTTTACTTTCTTAACTTTTACTCAGGTGATCATGTGGGATTCCAATATTGTTATGTCATGATGTTTTCTCGTGTATAACTTTAAGTTGTTCCAAAACATTCTATCTTCTTGAACATCACACTTTTGAATGTGACTTTTGTAGCCAGAAGCCCCTTCTACCTTCATTTGAGTCAGCCGAAATGCGTAATCTCGCAGAGACATTGTTGAGGTAATCTAAAACTTCACTGTGGCTTTAAGAATCAGGGAAGGTGTGGTCTAGCTGTTGAAACATTTTATCCCATCATTTGACCTTCTTTCAGGGATATTATTCGCGGCAGCCCAGATGTGAAATGGGAGAGCATCAAAGGACTGGAAAATGCAAAACGCCTTCTAAAAGAAGCTGTTGTCATGCCCATAAAGTACCCAAAGTAAGTTAGCTATTTCTCGCTAAAGAAAAAAAAATCTAAGTAGAGTGTTAATCTCTCAACATGATAATTCTTATAGCTGTTATCTCTTTGCTGCTGGTAAGAAGTACTGAAGTTAAATATACTATTCTTGCTTTCTTTTGCTCAAAGAATGGTGTTTTAATTTTGATATGAATCGAATATTAAAACACGTTCATGCCTTGTACTGCACAAATTGGATAATATGGATACAATGCTAGGCATACGAAGGAGTGCCAATCTTTCTATTTTTTCACTAATTCTATGTGTACTGTTTGTGCTATTTTCAGATATTTCACTGGTCTCCTTTCTCCCTGGAAAGGCATCTTACTTTTTGGCCCCCCAGGGACAGGAAAGGTTTGTGCATGCATACCCATTTAATATGCTAATCCCGCAGATTTATGTGATTCATGTATCGAGTTTTTTTTTTCCCAATCCTTTCCTTTTCCTTCTTAGCTGTAGCCACAGTCCTATGGTTCAGAGTCACTATTATGTTGAGCATTTGGTTATATTCTCATGCACTTATCCTTGTACAAAGACAGGCCTCTCAATTTTAACTGAATCCTGTTTTTAGACAATGCTGGCAAAAGCAGTCGCTACTGAGTGCAAAACCACCTTCTTCAACATTTCAGCATCATCAATTGTCAGCAAATGGCGTGGTATGACTTTTTTAGACAAGTCCTGATCGCTTCTTCACATTCTCTTCTGTTATTCTGACCAATGTAATTCAAATTTCAGCTGTTAGTTAAACTCATGAAACATATGCATTGCTGTAGTCAGTGGAGGAGTGTAATTTTAGAAGAACATGAGGATTTTTTTAGTTCTCAAATCCTTGCTGTTTTTAAGTACAGAACTATATTTCACTTTTGTATGTCTCATTTCTCTATTAGGATTGGGGAAATACAATTGAAAGATCTTACTGCAAGTGTGGCTATTGTTACCATCTTATACATTACATGGCATGATTCATGACCTATCATTACTAGTATGTTAGTACTAAGTACAAGCTGAAAGTTTGCACAATCAATTGGGGTCACTTCAACAATATTTTATTGTTCTCAAATCCTCGCTGTTCTTAAGTATAGAACTATATTTCACTTTTATATTCTCATTTCTCTATTAGGATTGGAGAATCTAATGTTTTTCACATGTGAGTGCAGGAGATTCAGAGAAGCTTGTCAAAGTTCTGTTTGAGCTTGCTAGGCATCATGCACCATCCACAATATTTCTTGATGAAATAGATGCCATTATCAGCCAGCGTGGTGAAGCTCGTAGTGAGCATGAAGCTAGTCGTCGCTTGAAGACTGAACTACTTATTCAGGTTTCTGCTTGTTTAATGATGTCAAGTAGAGTATAAATTAGCTAGCCCAGATTTGTAATACCTGATTTCTTGTTTGATGTTGTCTCCTGGTTTGAAATTGTGCCGTCAAATAGTGCCCCTGGGTTAAATGTAACATTTATGTTTATGCCAATGTCTATTGCAGATGGATGGTTTGACAAAGACAAACGACTTGGTATTTGTACTTGCAGCTACAAATCTTCCCTGGGAATTGGATGCAGCTATGCTCCGCCGGCTTGAGAAGCGGGTATGTCTTGTAGTTCATTTACATTATCATTTAAGTTGACAAATGGATTGATCTCACCTCTGTTTGTGTCTTTCACCATCAGATTCTTGTACCGCTTCCTGAAGCTGAAGCAAGGCAAGCGATGTTTGAGGATCTTCTGCCAGCAACTACCTCAAAGTTAGAGGTCCCGTACGACATACTAGTTGAAAAGACTGAAGGTTACTCTGGTTCCGATATCCGTCTTGTGTGCAAAGAAGCTGCCATGCAACCACTCAGACGTCTCATGTCAGTTCTTGAAGCCAGTGATGAGTTGGTTCCAGAGGAAGGTAAGTTTTGGTTCTTTTGTGATCTTTACTGGATTTTTCTTTTATTTATCCAGTTAATTCGTGCCATGTTAGTTTAAAAACCAAAATATAGGTTCTTAAGTTCCACCTATTATTATCTGCAGGTCCAATGAACATATCTTATATTTCTCTGTGTTTTTTTTATTCGGATGTGTAGAACTGCCTGAGGTTGGTCCTCTGAAACCTGGAGATATTGAACTTGCATTAAGGAACACTAGGCCGTCAGCGCATCTCCATGCACATCGATATGAGAAATTCAACCAGGACTATGGTAGCCAGGTCCTATGTTCAGAGTTAGCATGATCTTATTATCAGGTATGGCTTCAGGCTTGACGAAATCTGCTCAACCCAAATGTGCGCTAAACAGAAACTCCAACTCATTTTCCTTACTGAAAGCGTGATCTCTTGCAGGTTGATGTTCCATTGAATCATGGAACTAGAGCGTAGGTTGATGGGGTCCCGTATTGTCAAAATTTTTGCTCTGGTAACGAGGCTCCAAGCAGATTGCAATTTCCCTCTGGCTGCAGTACCTTGCATAGGTTGAAGCGCGAGGTGCAGGTGCTTGCTGTTCAGATGTCTGTGGCTCTGTTCATGCAGGCTGAGATTTTCACGAAGCCTTGAACTTACAGCAAAAAAATTGATTCGTTGTCTAGTTACGTGTCTAATAAATGTTACGAACCCTGCAGAAAAGTACACTCTGGTTATATTGAACGGAAAGCGAGCCAGAGAGCTGGCCTAGGTTTCTTCTGATTGTTGGTGCAAATATCCAGCTCGTTAAACCAAGCTTTAACAACATATTCTTGCATGGTATGGTGGGGGTGGGGGCGCACACAGGCGACGAAAGCTGTTAATTGCGGCTTGTTGCTGCTGGGTAGTCACAATCACAGCAGCTGGCCGGAGCAGCGAATCATCCCGTGTTTTTCAGTTTTTGTTGAGGTCCAAGTACCATGTTCAACGAGGCCGCTAGTCGTCCCGGCACCCGCGTCCAGTGCCTTTCAACACTCCGGTTTGACATCGGCCGCGATCTGCGTATACTCGGGTGCTCATTCTCAACCGAGGCCGGGTATCACCACCAGGCAGAGCGTCGCTTAACCATGGCCTGGTGCTGCTTGTGCATGGCACCCTTTATGCAACTAAGCGTGCAAGCACTAGTGCGCTAGCGAATTCCGGCAGATATATGCACATTGCCACCGGCCAGTTATGGCCTTGGAATTGATATGAAGCATATTTGCAGCGTCACAGATACGATATTGCTGGCCTAAGGCTCAAGCTGTTACTACCATTATTTCACTTCCGCAGCAAACAGGAAAGCCAGTCATACCACAAAACCATAAAACTTGTTGGACTTTTCTCCGTTCAAGAGGAGATATTTCAATATGCCTGGCACGTCCAACTTCACTCACAAATATAAGATAAACAAGCACTAACACCAACAAGACATTGTAACGCTGTTCGAACCATCAGAAACAGAAGTCCATCAACCGATTATACCAGCTCAACGTAATCCGCTCAGCGAATCAGTCGTCTTCCCAGACCTGGCATCAGACCAAGCTTTGGCTATTGTGCGTTTCATATCCTCGTCGCCTTCCTCATACATGTTCTGTACAGAATGCATGTAACAAAGTCATAGAATGATCACAAGAAATTCTCAATTAATCCATATGGGAAAAAATTATTTACCTTCATTAAGTCCATAATTCCTGACATCGGGTCCTTTTCCTTGTCCATGCTTGGCTTGAACTGTCAACAAAAACATACTTTAGTCTGACCAGTAGTAATCAGAGTCAGGTAACAAACTTAGCAGTATTCAAACTGGTGCCATGACACACTGGTCAAATCTATGCTTTAGGATTTGCACAAATGGTTGCAAGTTGTTACAACCTCCATCCCCAAAAGACCGCAAAATTAGGTTTCAAACCAGTCAAAAATTTCTGAACTTGAGTAAACTTGAGAAAATAATATCACTATTTATTACTTCAAATAGGTATAAAAATATATCCCACATATATACAAGGTTGCTCATTCACTAATAACCACTAGTTCTACAACTGAATAGGGATTAATCTAGTGATAATCATTCAGTATAAAAATTATTAATATTTTTTTTTATAAATTTAGTAAAATTGAGATGAATTGACTTAGAAAAGAAAGCAGTATTTTATTCTTTCTTGGCCGGAGGAAGCACCTACTTCCATGAAATAATTGAGAAAATGGTCAGTAAAAGCACCACGTGTTTTTTTTACTAGTAACAACAGAAGAACTACATCGATATTTCCAAATGTAGAAAAAGACCTTCCAAAGAGGCCAGGTGATAAAGGTTGGGGATGGGGTACAAATTCATAAAAACAAACATAGGACAAAATTCAAGTTAAAACTTGATTGATTTTTAAAATATATTTTAAAAGACAAAGCTTAGGTACAATATAGGGCAAAATTGTCTGCACTATTACCCCTGAAATTCGTTTTTTTTTTATTTTAAGCATGATTTGAGTTTAGACCTGAAATTTTGCATGAATGCAGATCATAACCCCACTTAGAGCTAAATTTTTCAAACCTCTTCTAAATTTATAAGGTTATGCTTTTTATGAAATTACACCATTTCTAACGTTTGTGCCATTTTCACCAGATATGCACCCCAAAAACTACCACAACAAATAGAAGGCAGAAAATAAAAGATAGCACAGTGATCCAACAATGGTGATACATGGAACTTGAGTACTTGACAAGTAGTTTCCAGCAATCAAGATAACAACAGAATTCGCCCACACAGAGAAGTCTTTACTAATCCCTAGTGATAAATCAGTGCAGTGAGCTCTTGATAACCTATCCAATGCAAAAAAGTTTATCAGCCAGTAATATTTTTTTCACCTAATTGCCTCAATAGAACAGTATGTTCCGTTCAGGAGTGGAAGTAAACCCAACCAACTGAATTGTCTGAATTATCATCCATGTGATTCCCACGAGGCATTAGAAAGTAGAAACTAGCTAATGTCTAGGTATGAAATTTTTGTATGCGGTTGACAAAGTCGATAAAAATAGCGTCCTACAGACAAACTTTTAGTCATCCAGAGCAATCCAATATCAAAGAGGTTAGAACAATTTGAACTTTGAAAATCATAAAGACAATTAGATTACTCAGCATGGTAAGTACCTTATCTTCCTTGAAGTGCAAGTCTAACCAGTTGCCTTTAGAAGCCTTGAAAAGGGTAACAATAACCTTTGTTGGCTTCACCACAACCTTACATTTCTCAGGAACAATTTCCTTGTTGAGCTTTGGTATAGCACACCGATAATTCTTGCCTTTGACATCATGAAACTTTACATCTACTGATGTTGGCTTGAAAGTAGTCTCCACCTTCTCTTGCTCAACTCCCTCAAGGGAAACATATATCTGACATGGGTACAGTCAAGTCAATCAAGAGCAAAATATTATCAAAATGATTAAGCACTACATGTTGGCTTGGTGAACTAACAGAATGTTGGCTTGGTGAACTAACTAACAGAATGAAAGTCATATATGAACTATAAGCACTAACTGAGCTGGAAAATAAATGGATTTGGAATTTTCAATGTACCATATGAATTCATCTTAATCATTAATGATGCATCAAGAAATATTATGAGGTCGTAGCTTCATGACAACCATGATCTCAGTAGTGGTTTCTAACTCCAGTTGTGCATAATTCTTAAAACTACCAGACTACTGGAGATATACTAATAGTGAGCAAGATGAATAAAATTCTTTCTTGAGAATATGAACTTCTGGTGCAAAAGATGAATGATAGATCATATTAATATCCAATCCATGTCTGATGCCAGAAAAGGCTGGCTGGCAATTTATTCACATAGCTCCATCCAATAGGTCCAACATAGTCTTCACCTAATTCACAGTTCTTCTTTGATTGATACTAAACGAAAACGTTGTTTGCCAAACATAGCGGCGACTCGATAATTTTCAGAACTTAGCACTGTCATCCGCAATTGATTAATGCCCTAGGAGACTAGACGATTGGTAAAAATGCAATGCCGGGTTATACAAACCAATTGACGGGACCAAACTAATAAAAACAAGTAACAACATACCTTGATCTTCTCGTTGTCCTGGTCCCAGCTGAACGACCCCAACGTGACGTAGCTTAAAACAGGACGCGCCGCGGGCGCGGGCGCGGGCGCGGGCGCGGAAGCCGCCGCCAGTGGCTCCGGCGACGGTTCGGTTGCCTTCGCCAACTGCCATCGCAATCGCTATGAGACAGCGCAAAGAGACAATCGGAAGAAATGGATCGGAGTCGACCCAGGCGCCGAATGAGATCGGCGGGGAGAACGAGAAAATGGGGAGAGAGGGGCAAAACATAGAAGAGAAGAAGAAAAGGCGCAACCTTTGCCTCAACGTTGCGGATCTCGTTGACGAGGAGGGTCTGGACGCGGGGGTGCTTGGCTAGACCCTCCAGCCGCCGCAGGTCGTCCAGCTCCAGCCGTAGCTCGTCCGCCGACATCTCCGGAGCGCTCTCGGTGCTTCCAGCCGTTCTCGAGGCCTCAGGGATATCGTGGGCAGGCAGTGGAGGCGGGTGCGTGATTCTGCCGGCTTATGAAGAGGGTTTGGACGGGGTTTGTTTGGCAACGAATGGAAGGAGAAAGAAGGTTCTGGAGCCGTGGTGATACGATAAGAAAATGAAAAGGGACGGTTTTGTGCGGAGAGAAATGGGCCGGGTCCGGGGAAGACGGTTTGTGGCCCATCTTTACGGTGCCAAGACCTGTGGCTTACCCTAACGGGATGAGAAATTGGTAATTGTGCTTTCATGGCCCAACTTTACAGTTCCGTCCAGTTTTTTTTTTGTGTTTTCAATTTGTACTAAGTTCAGATATTATGTACTGTAGTATTTAATTAAAATACAGTTCAAGGATCAAATCATGCGGACGATAAACATTAATTAAGAGCACAAAAGAACGAGTTGTCAACTGTGAGCCATGTTCCGACGAGCGTGTCATGACAAGTTATGCGTGCTAGTAAAAACATTTTTACTGCTCAGCTGCTACTAGTCGCATTTTGGCGGTGTTGTGTGGTGTGGTCACCGAGCCAAGCATTTGTCGTCCCTATAAATGCTGTCAACGCCCGGGTAGCAGGCAGCAGCAGTTTGTGCAGTCATTTCTCGGACAGACTCAGGAAGATGCCTGCCTCCCGATCTCGCATTCTCGCTCGCTGGCTCGCGCATAAACGACCATGCGGCATGATGTGTCTGTCTGTAGCTGCTGTGCGTGGCAGCCGCGGCTTGGCTTGTGTCATGTTCCCTCCTTACATAAAAGAATGTAACTATGACTTCCAGTACCAATAAAAATAGTTCACGTTTAACCAAATTTTCAGTGAATACTAGTCATATTTACGGCTCCAGAATAATTTATTATGAAAATACATTTTATAATTAATCTAATAATATTTATTTAATATTATAAACATTAATACTCTTTTATCTATAATTGATTAAACTTAAAATACTAATCCACGACACTATGCTAAAATTACGTTCGTTCCTGAGTACTCCTACTTCACTCTGCTACGCCGGTATAAGGCGACATTAATACCAAGTGCTATTCACTGGCAAAACTAGTGAAATGTACAGTTGCATGCGACCATGTATATATTACTATCACACTGCTACAGCCTACAGTACGCGTGTTACTATCCCTACCCCAGGGAAATTTTTTATTTTTAACATTTTTTTTAAACTATTTTTAATTCTAACACTGTTTAGTTTTTTTTAAACTAACATTTTTGGCCGCGCCTATTCGCATGGTGCGGCGAAATCACGTTGCCGCGTCATGCATGGGGCGTGGTAGGAGCGGTGACGATGGCGTGACAGGTCATTGAACAATGGCGTGGGTAAAAATTGGGGCTGCAGCGTGGATCTAGGGCGTGGCACCGACGCGCCACACATGGGCATGGTCAGTACCTCTCGGTGTTAGCCTTGCATAACTTGACTCGCATAACATGAGCATGAGCATCAAGCATTCATAAATCATCACTTACAATTGAAACATTTGATCGAAACATATGAAACATCGCTTGTTATCTCGTGTTTCTTGGAACATAGGCATATGATCATGTGCAAATGAATGCAAGTGGGTAATGTTGGTCACTAAAACACCTTAGCTACACTTAGGTTAACAAAAGGAACCTTGTTCATGAAGGCCACATTTCATGATCAAGCACTTAAGTGATATTTCATGTGTTGACTGAATAGCTATATGAGTGACTACTACATGAAATGCTTAAATGACCTTGCAAATTGTTTAAACATGCTTAGGATATCATTAGGAACAACTTTGGTATTTAGTGCTAAGGCTAGTTTGGTCATTTAGCCATGGTTTGTGTATGTATCATGTTTTCAAAGTGACATGTTTGACTAAAGTTGAACTAGGTGTTAGAGACCTTGCATGGAGGAGTTCACTAAAGCAAAGTTGTAGTGTTTGACATAAGGAACAACTTTTATTTTCGGGTCATGGACTGATTTAGCTTCTAACATGCTTGAATGGGTCCCCAAAAAACCAGAAAATCTAGCTTCCCACACTTAGCAAATTTTCTAAGTGGTTGATCGACTAACCGATCGACAAACCGATGTTGAGCACGATATTACTCCGTCTCTGTTGCGAATTAGAACAAGGTGCTTGAACCAAAGTTGTAGCTGGGTGCCGGGCTACAAAAAATCATGTAGATCGTTTTACCGAGAAGCTACGGATTAGCGGTTAAAGGAGTGTCAAAACTCATCGTCGAGCCTTTGCATCGTGTGACCGACGAATCGAATCGACCGCACACGATGGCCGACCGTTTCAGACACGCTGCAGCGCGTGGTGTACACGGAACGGCCGCAGCGTCGCCGCCCGACTCTGTCCATGCCAGAAGCCACGCGCAGCGCTGGCACGGCCTTAACCCCTTGTCGTCCGCCCGACACCCTTCCACGCTCCATTTTCGTTTCTCGGCCTTCTTCCTCGCTCGCCCTTGCCGCGCAGCCATTCCCGCATTTGAGCCGCCGGCGCCATTGCCGACGGCAGCTCGTCCTCATTGCTCCTCCGCCACCGCAATAGCACCACCGACACCCCAAAGCAACTCTCGACGTCCCCCATTGCCCATTGTTCAAGCTCGGTAAGAAGCGCATGCAGCCGCACACGCTTTGCGGAGCTCGCCGCGTGGTAAAATCATCATCGTGGCCACGCCGTTGTAGTCTACCTTTCCGCATGATAGTGAGTGCGCTAGGTTCGCCGTAGTACCACGGTGCTCGTCCCCGAGCCTTAGATCGGGTCACCGAGGTCGCCATCGGCGTTTTGCCATGGTCCAGACCCGCCGTTCCGCCATGGTCGCCGCCGTCGACTCTAGGGTCGGCAATAGGACCGACCAAGTGGCTCAATCGCCGCTTAGGTCACGAGGTCGTGTAGTGAAGACGTTATCACGCAAAGCTTCGCCGTCGACGAGCCGCAGCAGCCAAGAAGATTGCCAAATGAGCAGCCATTGCTCTGCTCCGTGTGACGTGGCGTGGGGTCCCCGACCAGCGGGTCCCACCGGTCAATGACGGTGTGTTGTAGGCTAGTTCAAATATTCCAGCTTTTTGATTTGTTTTATGAATTTTGTATCATCAGTTTGGGAGCTCCTAAAATTTTGAAATAAATATGATTGTGTTGCTTAGGAAGTGTAGTATTTAAGAAAAATATGTTCTTGGATTCAACAGTAGAAATTTCTGGAGATTTAAATAGGGATTTGAAATGTGCTTTTGAATGCATTCAAATTTGTTTATTTTATATCTAGAGTTCCTGTGCTCCAAAAATTATGAAATTTTTGTGGTGAACTAATCTTAGCATGTGTGAACTCTGGTAAAAATTTGAGGACCAGTGCATGGGTAGATTTAAAGTTATAGATTTTTCTTTTATGACTAGTTAATCCTTGCATGAATTTTCATAAATTAAGTATGAGTCCAAAATTCATGAAATTTGTTGGAGGTAATCCTAGTACCATATGGATGCTAAGAAAAATATGAAATCTGTTGCTTGACACTTTTCAATAGGATTTTCCATTTATGCTATTTCAAGCCTTGCTGCCTTGTCATTTTTGTATAGAATGTTCTACTTGGTAAAATGACATGAAATTTTTACAGTAGTCTTTTGATAGCATTAGTAAGGCTCTGTAAATTTTTGAGAATTTATTAAGCACATCTGACATATATTTATTATTTAACCTAGATATCTAAATAAAATAATAAAGGCAATTTAATAAATAGTTTGGGCTTCACCATTATATCATCTTAACTGTATTTGGTATGCTTAAACTATTGGTAGGTTCTAGGTTGTCAAATTTTTAATGATTACCTGAAGTAGAAGTATTCTTACTTTATATTGCATGTTAAATCATTTCCGGACTGATTCTAGAGTGTGATGAGTTGTATGTTGAAACTGAGGTGTACTATAAAAATGGTTAATAGCAAAGTTGTAGAGAATTTGATAAGCTTTCCAGAAAGTCCAGGATCACTGGATTTGGATTTGTAGAACTCCAGTTATGAGTGAAACAAGTAGCTACTGTTTGTGGCATAGTCGATGCATTGTAGAAGTAGTTAAGTAATAATCGAGAAGAGATATGCACCTACTCAAACAATGTGATGCACTTGTTAACATGTATGCATTCGTAATACTTATACCATACTCATGCATCTAGGATCGGAGGAAGAGATCACGTTGTTGGAATTCAAGAAGCAGAGGAAGGAACCCGCAGGAGGATCCATAAGCCATGACTCAAGGCGTGGAGCGAGAACCTCAAGAGCTTCCTGAGTGCCCCGACCATCGCCCTACTTCCTTTCTGCGAGGCAAGCCCCGAGCATTATAAGTCTCCCGAAGAAATTATAAATGTTTATTTAAGTACTTATGATTCTTTGCATTAGGTTATAAGAGTTGAATGAAACCACTTGATGCATGTACATTCTGGTCCAGATATTACACCTTTAACCGGTATAGGTCCGTGGATCGAATATATGCTTAGCCATGCTTAGACCGGTAGAAGTCGGGTGATTTCTGTCACTGCGAGATATAGGTGGATACCGAGAACACGGTTGGTTATAATTGCTATCGTGGAAAAGAACCATGGTTAATGTAAATGGAGACCAAGGCGGGATGTCGATAGAGAAGCAACAAGACATGGAGGTCTTGGGTGTGAATCTATCCCGTCTGTGTCGATCAAGGACATCATCGTTGTTGGAACTTCCGACAAGATTGAACGATGCCTCTCACTTAGCTGGCGGATAATTGCTCCGACCGCTGAAGCCGAGTAATTCAACTCGGGCCAGAATCGTTACACAGCGCCTTCCGGGAAACGATCGACCGAGCCCAAAGGGCGGGCTTGGCCGAGCATCCCGGCATCTGGTGTTTCAGATTGGAATGCGCGAAAGACGGACCCATGAAATGTGTACCGGAGTTGTACCAAAGGTGACCTAAGGCTATCGTGGTTTGGTAGACTGGGTTT